TATTATTATTATTATTATTATTATTATTATTATTATTATTATTATTATTATCATCATCATCATTATTACTATAAATACAAAAACGTATTATACAATTAGAAGAACAGCAATTGATTACGCGTAAATATTATGCATATATGTATTATCTATTTTATAATATTATATAAATATACTTTTTTTTTTTTTTTAATAATTTGTTTGTTGTATAAATCGCCGAAATTACAAAATACAAGGTACAAAAAATTTTTTCGTCACGGTCGCAAACTAACGGAGATATTGTAATATTTTCGTGGTAGGAACAAATACGTACCGAGCAAACCCATCATTGAGGAATTCGAGTCGTAAATAATTTAAAAAACGCAATTTATAAAAGTATGATTCTCGTGCTGAGAATTTTTGTTGTTACGCTTGCATATTATACTCCGTGGAACGTTAAGTATATTTTTTATTTTTCTTTCGTTTTTTTCACGTATTATATTATTATAATATGCATTTAAAATATTGTACATTTAGAGTACTCTGAATTCTGTGTGTTTATCCTCCTAAAATTAATTCGATTTTCTTTGTTTTATACGCTGAAAGAACTTTGCGTAGTGGGATATATCAAACGGAATAAACGTTTTGAAAATATAAAACGTTATTATGTACTTAAATATTATAATGTAACTCAAAAATATCATAAAATGGTTAAATATTCCGTTGGAACGATCGAGTTCAATCTCAAAACCCTTGTTTTGCGTATTTTTATTTATCACACATAACACGTACGTACTGCAATTCTGTACATCGATAAATAAATATAAACATATAATAATTTATATTACACTCATTTCCTCTTTTGTTTGGTGTAAGAATTGTATTTTATAATATTTATATTATGTACTAATGTTTGTCGTTTATTTTTTCTCTACTGATGTATAACTTTAAAACGTAATATTATACTGCGATTTAACATCTCTGGTCGCACTAAATTATAAGAGAGCACGTGTGTGCGCGTGTAATGTTTTTCTCATTTCGTGTAAAATACTATAAGTGTACTATAAGCGCAGTTTATTATTATTTAATTGTTTAGTATCCGGTTTTAATATTGTCCAAGTGAAGTTTTGAAATATTACTACTGGAACATGTTGTAAATAATAAAAATTATATATTTTAATAACATTATTATCTAACGAGTACTTAAGTCTCAGCTGAACATTATATATATATATACCTATTTGCCTATTATATTTTTTGCTGAAAATACATTTTCTTGTGATTGTCGTAAAGATTGTTTTTTGTTCTTTTTTTTTACTATTTTTCGTATTACAACTCGTTCAATATTGTAACAATTTACAACTCCTCATTTTACAGATTTTAAATGATCATATTACATTGCGTTAGTGCGACGTCTGTGGAAATTATACGCTCCCGATAACGACGTCTGCCAGTAGTTCAAGTTGAAGGATAGATTAGGTTTTTTCTAAGTAACTAGATTTCTTTTTGACAGATTATCATTATTCTAATAACCGATGACGTCGTCGGATCGGTAAAACTGTAACGGTCGCAACATATCAGCGGCAAACGGAGGACGTATCGATTAAGCGGATTGACCTCGGTAAAACGACACGTCAAAGTTATTCGATATTACAACACACGTTTGTTCGATTAAAAATATAAATAAATAAATGAAAGTAAAAACCATGCTTCAAAAGTGGGAAAAACGAATTAAATGTCAAAACTTTTGACAAACGCTGCGACGCGAAAGTTCTACTCGCCTCGAACGAGATGAAGTTCGTCGAGAAAAAACACGTACAACTACGTAGTAGTTACAAATGATATTATTCGAAATTGGGTACGTGTGTATACATCAAGCGTACAAATATATGAAATTTTATTAATGTGCCAGTTTCGGTATTTTTTTTTTCTCTACGTTAACCCGGCGAAATTAGAATTTCAACGTTCTTATTATTTTTTCCCTCCGCGACTACGTTAGCGTTGCTGTCGTTCGTCTCCGAATCGTGTATAGTAATGAAATAAAAAAAAATCACACTCGCACGTTTACCGTCACGAACGTAACTTCAACGCAATACGCGTCCGAAATTAAAAAATGTCAACGAACGACAGGAAAACCGACGTGACTCGTAGGCGTTTTATATACGTTCTGCTTTCGGTTTTAATCCGAACGTTACGCGTTCACGATTTATTATCATTCGGTCGATCTCACCGACCGGATTAATAACGTATACTCGACCTGGTTCGCCACCGATCTCAAACGATGGCCCGCGAACCACTATCTTTTGGAGGGTCGCGAAAAGTGTTCAGGTTTTCCTTAACAACATCATTTTTTAATTTAATTAACGTCTTATAAATGCCTAAAGTTTTGAAGTCTCATCGTGTTCCCGTCATATATTTTTCGTCCCGTGATGGGGGTCACGAGACAAATCGTAGGTTTTGTTACGACAAAAATTTGGATCGTGGTTTTAAGACAATTGAAAAGTACTGTCGAGTCCTAGTAAAATGAGTAAGTTGAATTCGATTGCGAGCCATACAGTAAAAGATTAAGTCAACACAAATATGTGATTTCAATAGAGTTACATGTTAGCATTGTGTACGGTCATATCGTTTCTTGACGACAGATTCGTAAGACAATAATTATAATGTTACCGGTTATTGCGACAACCGAATTTATTCAATATTACTTATGGTTACATCGCTCCCGGCCTGAAACCGATTTCGTTTTTTCTTGATTCCGATCCCGTTGCGAAACTATGTCGAACTTTGTCCACTCCAAATGAATACTAAAAATAACCGTTTTATTCCGGTACTGTACAAAATCGACCATGACCATTTACTCCGTTTATAACCCTTGTAAACGGTGTACTGCGCACGTAGATGCGTACACAGCACTTCCGCGGTCCCGTTGCATCACGCGTAGAAAAACGCACTCGACCGCCGCCCGGATCGTAATAACAATAAGTAGATAACGGGCTCCAATGCAAAGTTATCTTGGTGGTTGTTCTAGTGCAAACTTGTGTTTAACTTGAATTTGGTTTGCATATTTTAAGGGCATTTTACGCTTGGCCAAATAAGTACAGGTACAACTGTAGTAAAAAAAAAAATACCATACATTTTTTTTATCGCTATCGGCCAATTATATCTGTATTGTTCTCAGCGCCTCGATAACGTCGATTACAATGAAAGAATAATATGCTCGACATCAAGTACGATGCCGTACAAGAAATACGTATTTTTACAAATTTAAAGGGCCTTGTTTTATGCAATCTTTTAATATCGTCGATTTAAACCTTATTTTTCGTTTTAAGACGGTTTTTTCCCCGACCTTGCAACAATGATATCCGAATACAAGACGGAATACGATTATCGTTATTATTATTGTTCTGCATAATGCGTGCGCACGTTTGCTCTCGTCGTGGGGGATACACAGTACAACAATAATTCGGATTCGCGGGAGTGCAAATTGCGGTCGGAAAACAAATAATTAATAATAATATCACACACGACGGAGTGGCGGCACGATCAAAAAGAATAACACTCTCGAGGGGCAAGGAGAACGACCGCGGTAGGACATCGGACCGACAAATTAATGCAACGAAGACGCGGTGGAATATTCAGAACGAGCGATCGGGACCAGCCTACGTGTTCTGCGGTAATGCATTTATCAAATCACGGTTGCGGTCGTATGATATTGTTATAGAGTAATCAGCGTGGCGAATTCGGATGATTGTACGAACAGCGCTCCGAAAACTGTTAAGGTCCGCAAACATAACGACCGTGGTGCGCGCGTTATTTTTGCGTTTACCGACGGCGATTAATTTATTTTGAATCTATTATTTAAATTAGGTTTCCGTCGAATGTTCTATTGAATATGACCCAATAAAATTGTAATT